CTGAGATTCAGAGCTGCTTGACCTGGAGAGCCACAGTCAGGGGCCACATACACTGATGGCCTCTTCCCAGAGATGCACCCAGAGTGCAGTGACCTGTAAGAACAGGCTTATCGGCAGAGCAGGTGCTTCCTGGATGTCTCTGCTGGGTTTCAGAAGAGCAGGGGACAGCTCTTAGCAGGGTGGCCTGCTGGTTGACATCTCTGTTTCTTTCAGCTCACCCCTCCAGCCACAGCAGTCCCTCTCCTATCCCTTGAGTCTTTCTTGGGACCACCCACCTGTTCCCTCAGCCTGACCTAGACCCTGCACCTGGGGTGAGCCAGTGGTGGCACTGCCTCTTTCCAAGTTGCTCTCAGCCCAAGCAGCGGCGGTGTTCTCCGGGAATAATTGATATTACAGAAAACCTAGGGCTGGGTGCCAGCTTCACATTCCCTAAACATTTAATGATTCAACCTTTTCAGTTTCCTCAAAGCCACGCTTGGAAACTCCCCAGCAGCCCACTGCAGGCAATGAGCAGGGTGCCTGCTTTTAGGTTTCCCTGGGGGTTTGGGACCTGGGCTGGATGCCAGCAGCCAGGTGACCCTTGAGGTGCCTTTGTGTCCATGCAAGGGCCTCAGGCCTGGCGAGCTGGTGAATCTTGTCCCTTGCAGGGGTCCATCCACTGGATGGTGTTGGCTTGAGCCCCCAGAGGTTGGTATGAACTTTTTTGTACATTTGTGTATTTAAGCTGTCAAGACAGGACACAGCTGTGTGTGACAGGGAAGTAGAAACATGGGGCAGGCTGGGTTGGGTGGCGGAGGCAAGGGAGGAGTCTCTTCTGAAAGTGTCAAGGCCACTAGGGAGGATGGTGAAAGAGAGAGGGAAAGACAGGGGATCTGAGAACGGGGGACAGAGGCTAGAGGACAGCACCCCAGAGAGGGAGAAATACAGGGGTGGGATGGGGAGAAGGAGGCAGAGACGCAGGCTGTGCACATGTGTGCAAAGGGATTGCGGTGGCAGAGGCCAGAGGCCACAGCCAGCTTAGAAGATGTAAGGCCCCTGAGATGGGTTCAAAGGCCTTGAAGGAGATGCCTGGCTTCATTGTTTCTTGCTGACCCAAGTGAGCCTGTGGAATGATGTGCCCATGTCATACATCATGGTTATTTTTAATTTGTTTTAATTAGCTATACATGACAGTACAATGATCTTGATATATCATACATTTGAATCAGATGGGATATAATTTCTCATTTTTCTGAGTGTACAGGTTGCAGAATTACATTGGTCATGCAGTCACATATATACCCATTTGCACTAACAGAAGTAGCAATAGCAGTAGTGGTCATTATCACAGAATTAGAATGTGTTTGTCTAAAACTTGACAGTCTTCCCAGCAACTGTACAGGGTAGACTTCATACTCTCTGGTGAGAATTGAACAGCTCAGAAAACAGATGCATTGAGAAGTCAAGTCAGTTTTAGAAAGTCACATAGCTGGTCAGGAATAGATGGAGTTTATAACTGTCTCTCTTTGGGTGTTTCCATTCTACCTGTCCTTCCTTCCTTCTGGTTCCATGAGATCGATGCATTTATTTGAAGGCCAAGACGTAAATGGAAAATAAAATTACGGCAGTCTCATGACTTTTTAAAAAAAGATTTTTAGTGCCCATTTTTGACTCTATGGTATGTATAAGAAATGAGGCTTGTGAACAGTGTGGGGAGTGGAGTGGGGGAAAGGAGCGATGCAGGGACAGAGACGGGGAAGAACCAGTTGCCATGGTGCTAGCTTTTTAGGGTGCCTGCGGTGCTCCCAGTCCTTCCGCAGGTGGCCCTGCGACAGAAAATGGGGTCAGGGTTGCCTTCCTGTGCCACCGCAAGACAACCAGTTTTCCTCTCATGCAATATTTGAAATGAAAGCTGCAGAAGCTGGGATTTGGAGCTGAGTCAGGTCCGTGCCTCCCTCGGTCCAGCTCTTCTCTGACCTGCTTTGCCAGGCTCCTTCAGCAGCCAGGGGAGGAGGAACGCGCCGGCTCCTCCTTGGGAAACCAGTCCTGCCCATTCCCGGCCATTCAGGGGGAGGAGCTGACTCTTCTGCTCAGCCAATTAGAGAGCAGCACCTTTCTGTCCATCATGAGTGTCTTGGTGATGATTGGGCCACATTGGGCCAATCAGAGTCCTCCCTTGAAGCCTCCTTGGGCAGCGCTACTGTGGGAAAACAAAACACTCTTTCTCAGGGACCGTGCGTTCTGTGGACAGGTAGGCCCTGCAGACAGGTAGGCCCTGCGGACAGGTAGGCCATGTGGACAGGTAGGCCCTGCGGACAGGTAGGCCGTGTGGACAGGTAGGCCCTGTGGACAGGTAGGCCCTGTGGACAGGTAGGCCGTGTGGACAGGTAGGCCATGTGGACAGGTAGGTAGGCCGTGTGGACAGGTAGGTCGTGTGGACAGGTAGGCTCTGTGGACAGGTAGGCCGTGTGGACAGGTAGGCCGTGTGGACAGGTAGGCCCTGTGACAGGTAGGCCCTGTGGACAGGTAGGCCCTGCGGACAGGTAGGCCGAGCGGACAGGCAGGCTCTGTGGACAGGTAGGCCGTGCCGATAGGTAGGCCTTGCGGACAGGTAGGCCATGTGGACAGGTAGGCCGTGTGGACAGGTAGGCCCTGCGGACAGGTAGGCTGTGTGGACAGGTAGGCCCTGTGGACAGGTAGGCCATGTGGACAGGTAGGCCGTGTGGACATTTAGGTAGGCCCTGTGGACAGGTAGGCTATTTGGACAGGTAGGCCGTGTGGATAGGTAGGCCCTGCGGACAGGTAGGCTCTGTGGCTATGAGCATATTTCCTAGCTGATGAAAGACCAGTGCTGTCAGCGGGGTGGGAATAAGACGAGGTTGGAGCCCCAGGGAGAGTTGTTTCTCCACGCATGTCCTGGGGGGGGGTCCCCCCAGGCATTTCAGTCAAGGCACACCTTAATTTTGGCTTCTGTAAATCTGAGTCTGATTTCTGTCCCTTACAACTAGAAGAGGCCTGACAAGTGCATCCTTAGTTAACTCCTCCTTTTAATTGTTTAAACTTATTCATTTGGCTTCCTGCTACTACCAATATTCACACCAGCTTTGACTTACAGTTAGCTTCTGTGGGCCATAAGAAGCAAGACTGACTCTAAGAATGGTTTTGCCATTGGTTGTCTCTAGAGATCATTTCTTGACAGTTTCTAAGTGACTTTGTAGTATCAACAAAATGTGAGCCTGCTTGAAGGCAGGGTCTGTTTCTATGACCTTCTAAAGCCACTCGGTGTGAGGGGGGAATTCAAATGCAGAGGCTTTGGGTGTGAAAGGAATTAGATGTACCTTGAATAGATGCATCATCTAAGGTGGCTTGTCCCTGTTAACTACTGCTGCATAACACACAATGCCACACCCAGTTTGAAGTGACAAACATTTATTTAGCTCTGAATCTATAGATGGATAGTCATTTGTTCTGGACTTTGCTGAGTTTCATAGTGTTGACCCATTTCTCTTTGAGGTGGTGCAGGTTGGTTAGGCGGCATTACTGATCTTGACTGGGCTCTTCATGTGATTTCTCAATCTCTACCAGGCAACTCCAGGCTTGTTCTCTTGCTAAAAACACAGAAACAAGAAAGAGGACATGTAGGGGCTGGGGTTTTGGCTCAGTGGTAGAGCACTTGCCTAGCATGTATGAGGCACTGGGTTTGATTCTCAGCACCACGTGTAAACAAATAAATAAAGGTTCATTGATAACTAATAAAAATTAAAAAGAAAAGAAGACATGTAAAGAGTTCTTTAAGCTTCTGAGTGCTTTGAGTTTGCTTTGGTTGAATCTGCTGAAGGAAGTTATGTGGCTGAGCCCAGGGTCAATGGAGGAAGGTTCCTCCCAGGGGCACAGATACATAGCTCTTCTGTTGTCTTTGGTTTTTTTCTTTTTATAATTTTTATTGTTGGTTGTTCAAAACATTACATAGTTCTTGATATATCATATTTCACATTTTTATTCAAGTGGGTTATGAACTCCCATTTTTACCCCGTATACAGATTGCAGAATCACATCGGTTACACATCCACTGATTTACATACTGCCATACTAGTGTCTGTTGTGTTCTGCTGCCTTTCCTATCCTCTACTATCCCCCCTCCCCTCCCCTCCCCTCCCCTCTTCTCTCTCTACCCCATCTACTGTAATTCATTTCTCCCCCTTGTTTTTTTTTCCCTTTCCCCTCACTTCCTCTTGAATGTAATTTTGTATAACCCTGAGGGTCTCCTTCCATTTCCATGCAATTTCCCTTATCTCTCCCTTTCCCTCCCACCTCTCATCCCTGTTTAATGTTAATCTTCTTCTCATGCTCTTCTTCCCTACTCTGTTCTTAGTTACTCTTCTTATATCAAAGAAGACATTTGGCATTTGTTTTTTAGGGATTGGCTAGCTTCACTTAGCATTGTCTTTGGTGAACATCTGCAAGTCCCTTAGGTGAGACAGATTCCACTCGCTGGGTTGGCCAATGGTAATTGTCAATGTGAGGCACTGGGAGTCTAGAACTTTCAAGGGCATAGAAGGGGCGGCTAGGGAATGGGGGAGGAGTGGACCTTTCAGCCCTTACTTATGAAGGAATTTAGAACTGCCTATGGTTTTCTTCTCTTTAAAGCATTCTACAAAGAGGACAGTTCTTTTAGCCTTTTACAAGTGCCTCTGATCCTTTGTTGTAGGGCCAGAACCCTTTTCTTATCTTTTCAGGAGAGAGGATCCTCAAAGACCTTACAGTCGAAATGGAAGGAACACATATAAACAGAAAGAGTTCATGAGCAAAAAACAAGGGCTGAGGGAGGAATAAGCCCACGATGCTCTGGGAGCCTAGAGGCAGGGCACTTGGCCCAAGCAGGCAGACCATTTAGAGAAATCTATTTTAAATTGATTGTTTTATTTGCTGGATTTTATATTGACATGTTTTGCTTTGTTCTCAATGTGTTCTGGGACTGCAGCCTATTCATTTATTATTAAGAGAACGGTAATTATTTCCAGGAGCTCCTGAGAATACACTCTGCTTCCCCTTTGCCTGTTCTCGGCTGAATCGGGTATAACCCTCATCTCTCTGAGGACATCTCTGGCAGGAAGTGACAGCCCCCATGTGCCTGGTGGAATACACCAAGGACCCTGGCCTGGAAGGAAGTCTTGCAGACGCTACTATTCAATTTCGAATGAGCATATGGGTGCCCTGAGATCTTGCCAGAATGCAGATCTGGCTCAGGATGGCTGGGTAAGGTCTGAAATGCTTTTTTTCCTAATAAGGTCCCAAGTGATGCTGCTGCCGCCAGTGTATGGACCATGTTCTGAGTATGAGATTGTAGAAAGTCAGCAGTACCTTCTTCAGTGGTGAATTTTGTGGCAGGACTGAGCACAGGCTTAGCTAGATGGCATCAGTCTCTTCTGCTGTTTAAATAGAGATGGTGCTTGTTTCTTGCCGACAACTATATCTCCGGTTCCAGGCACACCAGAAAATTTTTAAAAAATATTTGGCAAATAAATGCCTCCCCTCTCTCCCTTTTCTGTAGACAGGAGCATGTGGGGGGTTTGCCTAATGTTTTTCCAACTCCATGTGGTAAATGGAGCCTGGACTTGCAGCTGTCCCATGGGCTGCGGTATGGACCCCTCTCAACTAATCCAATATAGCCCACCTGTCCAGGGCTGACCATGTGTTCCACAGCCCTCCCTCAGACGTGGATAAAACTCATCCTGTGCTTATACACCTATCCTATTTGAGGCCCTCCTGTTTGCCATCTCTTGCCCATGGAGCAGCCAATGTTGATTCTAGAGTTCCTTATATCCTCTTGAACTCAGTGATTGACACTGCTGTCTTTTTTATTACCGCTCTCAGGCTTGGCTAATTTCCCCCAAACATCTTAGCACCTTCCCGTTTCCCTAGTTGGAAATCCCAGCACAGCTGTATGATTGGAGCTGGCGCCAAGCCAGTGATGACATGAAGGGCCAACACTGCATTTCAGATCATCACCCGTCTCTTAGCTGGAGTTTCCACCCAGAAACTTGGCACTCTGTCCTTAGAGAACAATTTTTTAAAAAGCCAAAAGCAATTAGCCATGATGCAAAATATCTGAGCTCAGTTTCCTCCATTGCAAAATGGGACTGGTTGCACCCTCCTTGTGAGGTTTTAAGGAAGATTATGTTGTGATATAATAGAAATGTACCGCCTGACTCAGAATCTGACCCAGGGAAAACACTTCACAAAGAACAGTTCTTTTTAAATTTTCAGTTCTAAAGGGTGATTCTTAAAGTCCAGACCAGGGCTCCTAGGTGTGCAGGTCCATGTCTCTCACAGCTCACAGAAAGTTTGGTCTGTGAATAAAATAGTGACAGGTAAGCCAGCTAAAGCCCAAGGCTGCTACCCAACAAGGTTGACCCTGCAGAGGGAATAAATGAACTGTGGACCTTGTGTACCAGGAAGCTCTCAGGGGTCATCCTGAATTCTTCAATAATGCCTTTCTAGTCTCCCTGCAGTGGGCATGTCTTGGACCTATGCCCAAGACCCAACATATATCTACAACTAGTTTCATCCTGATGTTTATATTTTCTAAGAAGTCTGGATCATCTTGAATTTTATTAATTTTGTCTTCTGAGTTTTGTCATCATTGTAGAATATGGTGATTGCATTTATTTAGTCAATAGATACTTGGTGAGCATCTCTAGCATGTCAGATGCTATTCTAGGATAGTTTATATCCAAGGATGAAAGAAAGAAAAAGGACCTGCCCTTTTGGAGCTTAAATGTATTTTGAAAAAATGATATTAGATTTTTCATCACGGCAATCAAGACAATGACTACAAAAAGCCCCAGCCCAGAGATCCATGATCCCAGTGGGAATACATACACAGTAGATGTTTGTTGGCTGACTGACGGACTCTATGAGTAGGTCATTGTAAGGGATATAAGGAGAAGATGGAGGAGGAGCCATGGGGAGGGTGGACTCACCTGGAATCATTCCATACTTCCTCCTGAGCCTGTCATTCACTTGATTGTGCAATGGCTTGGAACAGGCATTCCACAGTCAACAAAAGAATGAGGCTGGCTTTGAGCATAGCCCATGTGTAAGCTATTAAAATTGGAAAGAAAAATAATGCCGAAAACAGAATAGATTGACTCTTGCTTTCATGGGGCTTGCTGTCCAGTTCAACATTCTTAGTTTCCCCAGGTCTGCGTGAGCTCTGAGCCTCCTCCCGTCCCACCTCAGCTGCTAGCTGAGGGTCCACGCTGATCACAGGTGTCACTGAATATACTTCAGGACATGAGAACATTTTCTTTCTAAATGCTTTTCCAAATGCCTTTCTAAAAGAGCAGGGTATACAACAATGAGTTGACTCTTCCAAGTTTTTAAATCCTGAATCTTGAAATCCATTTTGTTTTCAACTAAGCTGATAAATGAACCACTGGTGTTATTTCAATTTAACTCCACCTGACATAATGTGGCCCATTCCATCTTGGACTGCGTTTAATTACACTGTCAGCGTTTTTCATTGTTGGCACTGTTGACGACTGGGGAGGGATAATTCCTTGCTGTGGAGGCTGCTCTGTGCACTGTAGGAGGCAGCTTCCCTGGCTTACCCCACTAGAGGCCAGAAGAATATCCCCCAATTGGGATGGCTGTCAGTGTCTCCAGGAATTTTCACATGTTTTTAAAAGTTTTATGAGTTATCTCTGACCTGATATTGAGCACCTGCTCTCCTGTGGGCAAGCTGTGAGACGCTAGTCAGGTCTGACCCGAGAGTCAGTTTTTATTGGAACAAAGAGGGGTGATGCAGTCTCTGCCCTAGAGTTATGGTCAGGTTTAAAAGATGCCTGAGCACCTGGGCAGGGGAGTTCCCATCTTATTCTTTCTCTGACAGCCTTGAGTCCTGAGCTGTGTATTTGGAACTCTGTGTGTGTTGCGGGTGCAGGGGAGATAGAGTGCTGAGAAGACCTCACCTCCCTGTGCCTCCGTGGTTCCTGGCAGAACGATGTATCAGGAAACAGCACTTCAAAGGGCAAGCTTCAGAGTAACAGAGACCCCGATTTGACTCCTCGATCCACCACCACCTTTCTGTGATAATCTTGGGCAGGTTGTGCAACTTTGGTGCCTCAGTTTCCTCATCCAGCAAAGGGCCATAGCAGTGCCAAGTCATGGAGTTATGGTGTCAGGATTAAATGGGATCATGTGACAGATGTCAGGCTCTGAGCACCATGCCTGTGGCCCAGAGTCAAGTTGGCTCAGTAACTGTTAGTTGTTGTTGCTATTATCATCTGTGTTATTTTGCCCATGGGTACATCCCTGGGGTGACTTCAAAGCAGATAGCGGCCTCTTTCTGGGAGGAGGGGGGTCCTATCCTGCCAGGGTAGCTCTGTCAACAGCTTCCCTAATGAGCTCAAGACTCCTCTGAGGGGGGGCCCTCTGTTTTCCTAGTGACTCTCTGTCAACACAGTTTCTTTCCTGCATCAACAATATTATACCAATTGCATATTTACCAGCCTGTGTGGGACCTGAGACTATCAATGGTTACAGTGGAGTAAATGATACTCATTGTGAAAACAGGGTAAATGCCTAGTTCCTTTACACAATGGAAGGCGCTCTTGTAGGCTATTAAGCAAATAACTATAAATAACCCACCATAAAACGCTCTGCATAAGCCTTATCACACCGACTGCCGCACACACACTGGGGCAGCTGTAATGGCTGGGTAAATTATACGTGTTTTTAAACACTGTCCAAAATACATATTTACACGTACTTAAAGTCCTACACTAAATAGTCTCTATAGCAACTGGAAAAACACAAAAGCCTTATTAAGCATTCTTTGTAGAATTTTTAGGAGTTTAATCATTAGGAGAAAGCTCATAGGCCACGGAGACACCAGGGAACATGAAGAAAGAAAGTCTTTACGGGAACAAAAGAACGAGGCTGGCTTTGAACCTGGTGGGAGAGGGTTTATTTTTTTCTAAACTAATAATCACCAAGGGCCTTCTCTTTGGAGGGAGGTGCTCTGTTTGGGGTACATCAGACATGATTTTGGAAGTAGAATCTGGTTTCTCAACAGAGAAGAAAGATCTCCTCAATTAATGTATTCCAGCAAAAGATCACTTTCAAATTGTTCTTTTGAGCCACAGCAAGAAACGATTTCTTTGCCATTTAGAAAGGAAGTGCTGTGGAATGTCTGTGTGGAGCCCGAGTCTCAGCTCTTCAAAGGGGGATGCTAGGGGTTTCTTCAGGGAGGAGCCAGGCCCTTCCTTGGAGCACTGTATTTATCTGGTGTCTCTGGAACAACGTAGTGGTGATTGAACCTGGAAATGTCAGTGATTTAGCCTTGCAGAAGGTCCTTTCTTGCTCATGGGTGAAGTTTCGTCTTCATGTAGTCACTTGGGGAGAGTCCTGTCCTCTTGTGATGGTGCCACTCTGATACTTGCTTTCCAGGGTTGCAGCAGAGGAAGAGAGAGCTCTGGGGAGCCTCACCTGCCCAGGTACGGCACACCCCACCTCTACTCTCATCCCACTGGTTGGAACTCAGATTACATAAAGGCTGGGAAGATGGGGAGGCTTGTGGATGGTTTGGTGATCACTAAATATCTTTGGGTCAGATATCACCTAAATGTACTTTTTTTTTTTTTTTTTTGGTACTGGGGATTAAACCCAGGGCTGCTTAATCACTGAGCCACATCGCCAGTCCTTTTTTAAACTTAATTTAGAGACAGGGTCTTGCTAAGTTGCTTAGGACCACACTAAGTTGCTGACGCTGGCTTTGAACTTGCCATTCTCCTGCCTCAGCCTCCTGAGTCATTGGAATTGCAAGTGCACCCCGGAACCTGGCCTGCTATTATCGTTAAAACAGCTTTATAATGAGAAATTGCCCCATTCACCCATTCACTGATAGGCAAACTGGGTCAGGTATGTGAAATGACTTCCTTAAGGTCACTTGACAAAAAAATGGGAAGGGTGAGTGTGAAAGATGGGGTCCTAGGAGTGGAGCCACACAGTCCTCCCTGAGTCAGCAACACTCCTGGGCACTGTTCCAAAAGACATGTCCAAAAAGACACATCCCTAGAATGTTCCTCAACACCCTCTTTGTAATAGACTCAAGCTGGAAACAATCCAGGATCTATCAACAATGGCATAGATGGATCGATTGTGGTATTTTAGCCCCAGTGAAATAGTAGACAACACTGAAGACAAGCAAATCGTAGCTCGGGACATACCAACAGAGGAGGCTTGTGAATCCTGTGTGGCGGGAAGGAAGCCAGACACAACAGGATTGGTACTGCAGAGTCTATGCTGTGTGACTCCAAGCCAGACACAGGTTGCAGGGCCAGGGAAGCCCGCCATGTGCTTATTTTGAAGTTTGGTTGTGGCCAACAGGTGTACCAGCAGAGAACTGTGTTAGTTTCATCATCTGGACGCTGGTTGTGTGGGGTGTCCATTCGTGGAGAGTCATGTAGCTGCACACTTAGAGTCTGGAATATGGCTTTGTATCTACTACACTCCTATGAAACATCTTCTTAAAGAAAAGACTTGGCAGAAGTATAAATCATAGGTTTGGATCAAACTGAGGGCAGAGCCTTGTCCTGCATATCACACGGCAGTCACTCTTCCCCAAGCCATTATATCGAGGCTGTCCCCACATGCACATGGTCTAGTTTGCTCCATCCCCACCAACACAGCCCATCCGTCCTGGGGTTTCTTAGGGTCCTGCTTTAGGTGGAAGCTTTTAGCAAGGAGAGCTGTCCATCAACCATGCTTCACTGTGGCTTTGATAAGATAATTCCCTTCCTAGAAATCACGAGCAGTCTTGGGATCTTCTGAGGGTGGAGGGAAGGACAGTGGAGTCTCCTTTCTTTTGAGGCTAGTGGGATGAACATGGTCAAGTAAAGAGGCCAGTCAAAACCCTGATAATCCTAAATCAAGACCAGTAACAGAGATCAGGACTGTTTGAAGTCCCAACACAAAAACAAAAGCCTTCGTTCCCACCCCAACCAGAACTGTCACCTGAAAGATTCAAGCCGTTGCTTTTCCCAGCCCTTTTCCTATCCTCTTAACATACCCACCACCCAAAATAGCCATATGATGGAGCCCTGGCTACCCAAACCCACTGCCATCTTAAGGAGGGTCTGAGCAGCCAAGGCACAGCCGGTCACACGAGCACCTCTGGTCAGCAGCAGAAGGTGAACACCAAATGGCAAGATGAGTGGAATTTAACTTAGCAGTTTTCATCTGTCATCACATTGTGACAGTTTGGTCTCCTACACTTTACGGCAGCCCAGCACGGAGGGTACAGAACTCCTGCGGGAAGCCTTCTCTCCTACCTGCTCCTGCCCTGGAAAACGTAATGGTCACGTCACAGTTTTCAAAGGTCTAGAGGGTGTCCTTGCCAGAGGCCACGCTAAAGAGCTGTTGAGTCAGTGGTGCTCTCTCTAGGCCATGGATGCTAGGAAGACAGGGGGTTCAACTCAGCAAATAACTAAGAGAAGTCACCGTGGGCCACGCGCTGGGCCATGCGCTGGGAGAGGTCCCAACTCTGCCTGAGAGAGGAAGAGCGCAGGCCATGCACTGTGATGAGTGCTTGTGTAAAAGTTTGCTGGGGATGTAGGGGAAGTGCTGGTGTGGGAGCTTGGTCCAGCTTCACTGAGGGTGAAGAGAATTCTTGAGAATACAAAGGAAACTTGAAAAAGATGGTGCAGCTGGGAAAGGGAAAAAGAATACAAGGTGATGAGCCAGGGGGTAAGAAGAGAATAGCCCAAATCCTTACAAGTTTTGTATATTAAGCCAGTTATTATTATTATTATTATTATTAAAGTTTGCTCTTAATGGCAAAGGGTAGCATTTATATAATTTTTAGAAGAATAAAATGATGAGATTTTATTTTATGAAGAGCGTCTTGGCCCCTGAAGAGTGCAGTGGTAAGGTGTGTATTTCAGAAAGGGAAGGGGACACTAGGAGAGCTCCTGGAGATTGTCCCAGGAGCTCGGGTGTGAGAGAAGGGAGGCAGCCGCACTTGTCAGAGCCTTTGCTGGGGAGCACTCTGGGTGTTCAGATGGATTCTGCCGTGGGTCCTACTGGGCTGTGACCCGGACCTCAAGAAGATCTGTGTGAGCTGAGTGAAGAGGAAGCCAAGGGAAGGGCAAGGAGCGGAAGGTGGCTCTGGGACAGGCCTTTCTCCTTGCAGCCTCTCTGAGTGTGCAAAGCTGACACATAACTGTGGCTCAGAGTGCCGAGACTGGGATGTGACTTTGTCTCATGATCATCTGTCATGTCTTGGACACAGCCTGCCATTTGCATTCTTTCCTTGGCCCCCAAAAGTGCAGAACAGCCAAGAATGGTGTCTCACACCTGCAATGCCAGCAGCTTGGGAGGTTGAGGCAGGAGGATTGCAAGTTTGAGACCAACCCCAGCAACTTAGCAAAGCCCTAAGGACTTAGTGAGCTCCTGTCTCGAAAGAAAAGGGTGCAGAACAAGATCTCCATTAACCGTTCCCTTATTCTCTAGGGTGAGACTTGTGTCATCCTTGAGGCCGAGGGGGAGGAGCTTGCCTGGCACTTCTTATCTCCTCCATACCCTCCGTAGGGTCCTTGTATATTTCAGACTTCCCAACTGCTCCCTCTACCTGAGGCCATTTCTGTGATGAAATCCAAGTCCATGTGGCCTTTCGGGGACTGTATGAGGTCTGTCATGTCTCAGTCACATTGCTGATCTTGCAGACTTTGATGATTATTAAGGAGTCTGATGCCAGGTGTAGGGAGGGCAACCCCAAAGAATCTGAGAGCCATCCTCTGGCAAGAAAAGGCAGGGGCAATGTTGGTTGCCCAGAAGTAGATGAATGGAGACAGGGAGAAGGGGATTCATTTTTGACCTCACTTGGGAAGTAAGCTGATCACTGGTGTTTTAGCCAGGAATTTCAGATTATGGAACACCAGTGTGAGTCCTTCCATAGCTCAGTTGGAGGACCTCAGAGCTGTAGGGAACACTCCGAGGAAGATCCACCCTGCCAGTGGAGGGCCAGGTCACTGACTCTAAAAGTGGAGCAGTTGGTTGGCCGGTCCTAAGGGAATTAAGGATGTTTTGAAGCCAAGAAGAAATATCATAGAGAGGATTCCTCAAGTCTATAAACATACCGAGAAGGTGATAGAGACGCACAGTCAGGATTTGGGCAGGGAATGAGGAAAATTGACAGCATCATTAGTCAGATGATGAATGTGGAAATGAGGTTTCTTATTAAATGCACCATCTAGCCCAGTGGTACTAGGTGCCTTGTATGTCACAGTCCTGAGAATGCTGGGGAGCGGGCAGGGGAGATGGTGAGAGAGGGAAAAGGGGAGATGTTTAGCGGCAGCAACAGGACCTCATGTCCCGTATGGCAGGTGACTTTTGCACAGAAGTGCTGGTCTGACTTTCATGGTGATTTTTAGTTATCCTCAGGGTCTGATAGGTGCAGGCAAGAAGTAGGAGGCCCTGAAGGCTTAAGGCTGATGAAGACACCTTCTGATTACAGCAGACTGTCCCCTTATCACTAAATCCTCCTTTCAGTCTTTCCTTTCTGTAGCAACCCTGTGCTCCTGCCTCCCTACACCAAATCCCCGCGAGGGTCAGCAAACAGTCATTTGAAGATGTCAGTTTCCTTTCTTTCTTCTTCTTTATGTTCATCCCTTCCAATCTTCAAGTTTTTTTTGTTTGTTGGTTTTGCTTGCTTTTACATTTTAAGGCACAATCAAGACATTTAAACCATTTCACTCTAGAGGTCTGTTGAGAAGGGGGCATTTGTCTATATACTTGTTCATTCATTCACTTCTTCAGAATGGTTTTACGAAATACCTTTTTGTTCTAGGCATGAAGAGTGGCTCCAGCACACACTGCGGATCAAAGAAGATGTACTTTCTGCCCTCGAGAAACCCCTGGTCCAGAGGGAGAAATATGCAGGTAAGTGACATATTTCAAGAATTGCTTGTGAATGTTGCAGTTGTGGTTAAATAGCCACACAAGTGAGTGGGGAGTGGCCACCTTGCTTCTTGCTTTGAAGAGTGAGATCCCATCTGGGAGGCCATGGTTTCTAGGCATGGTCCAGTGGGTGCTGAGCACCCTGTGCGTCCAGCGCTGTGTGAGGCTCTGGAGGTATTTAGATGGTCCAGTCATGATCTGAGGACTCAGGTAGAAGGTTTGACAAGGGATAAAGATAATAGATTATCTCAATAAATGGATGGAATTTTAATAGGGTGTTTGGAGACCAGATTGGTCGAGGCGGTGTCTGAGTTCATTCTGGACAGTTGACTAACAGGGGAAAGCATGGAGGGAGAAAACAGGTTGTTCTAACATAGGGAATGACAGAGTCACGAGACGATGCACCCACAATGGATGTTTTGTGTTTGGCATAAGTGACACAGGTGGCTTGAATGGGGGTAATCTGGAAAACCCTCAACTTGGCAGTTATACGGAGCCGTGGTGATTTTGGTGAATGTTGGTGCGGACATGGTGGTGGGGATTTGATCATACTGTATTGTAAGGATTTCCCAGATGGGGTAGAGAGAGGATGGAGTCCAAAATCCCAATTAGCCCAGCCACTGTACCTGAGTCCTCACACTGTGCCTTCCTCCCTCTGTCTCTGGGCTGTTCAGAACACAGATCTAGACCCAGATGACAGCCACCAGGGAGGGAACAGCCTGTCACGCTGTGTTCCCCATAGACACATGCCTGGGTGTGGATTTATACATCAGTACTCAGGGCTGGTGATAGAATCATTGTGTTTTTTTTTTTTAATCCCTTCCATGACACAAACCAAGAAAAAAATCATAATAAAATTTTACAAGTTAGCTGCCACCAGGAATAAACAGGGGAGCACTATAGGAAATGAATCAGAGGCACTAACTGAATCTTCTCTCGGGACAATAACCCTAATGCAACGCCAGGGTCCGAGGAGGTCGCCGTAGAAAACCCTCCTGGGCCGATTCTGAGGAGAGAGGAAATATTCCCCTCCTGTCATCTTCACTTGGCGTCCTAATATGTCTGTGGATATGCTGAGAAAACGTAATATGTGGCCTCTGTTCTGAATCAAGGTTTGGATAACCAGGGCCATTAAGGCCTCCCCAGGGACCCCAGAATTAACCCTCTGTGAACCCAGGAAGCCAGGCTACTCAGCCACTGGGGGAAGCCGCTTGAGTCTAATTGTGGCTGAGCCCGAATGTCACTTGCCATTAGGTTCAATTGGCAATTTTTTTTCTTTATAAATTACAAGATTACCTTTAAATTGTGTACAGGAGCTCATAACTGCTGTCCACTGGAGGCAATCGGGAGTGATTTCGGTTCACTCGTGGACAGGCTGCCTCTTCTGGAGTCTTTGTTCATTAGGCTTCTGTCTGTCTCGGGTCCCATTTAAGCATCAACGAGGAATAAATTCTGCAGTGGGCACTGCACATTTGATCTTAGAGTCACCTTCTTTGTTGGTGGGAAGCCTTTTAGAGCTGGCTGCAGTCTCCTGGAGACCTCGAGCATATGTGGCCAAGACACCCTCTGTGTGACCTCTGGGCAGTCTTTTGGATCTGCACCAGGCTGACTCTATGAACTCTCCAAAGAAATCACTGGAAAGATAGGTCTAAACCTTGCATCGTTCTTTCTTGCCTTCAACTGAGGTGGCTTCAGTGTAACTGCTTCTAGACCAACTTGCAGCGGGACACATTCAATCACTCACTCATCTGACATCGTCATTGTGCCCCATCTGCACAGCAGATGGTAAGCCTGGTGCTGTAAGCCTGGTGCTGGTACAATGGTGAGCTTACCACGCCATGGGGAGTGGACAGAATTGAACAGGCTCTTCCAATGCAGTGTGATAAGGGCTCTGAAGAGGAGGTTGAGCCTAGGTATCTGGGCAAGGTACTGGCCTCCCAGAGGGAGGGAATTGCCTCAAGCTGGGGCTTGGAGGTTGAGGGCCATTTCGCTGAAGACACATCTTCTGTAGGGCCTGAGGGTGACGGTGAGGTACACAGAGCTGAGGACAAAGAGTGGCCGTGCATCTGTGAGGAAGGCCGAGCAGCGGCTTGTCCAGGAAGGAGGAGGGTGGAGGAACACGGGTCACGTCGGAAAGAGCTTTATAAGCCTTGATCACAAGAGAGGGCCTCATACCAACAGCAAAGAAGGTGAGAGGAGGGACGAGACCAGGGAGGCACTGGGCAAGATGGCTGTGGAGCGTCTGCTCATCACGGAGACTGATTCTCTGGGATCTCATGCACCAGGTGCAGGGCTGATGAGATCTCAGATGTGACAGTCCTCTAACCAGCTGCTATTTGATTTTGACCTTTTCCTCTGTGAGCGTCTCTGTGCTCCATTTATCCCAATTCTGCAAGTTTTGAAATGGGATCAGAGCAAGAACCCAGTTACAGAACGTCACAGCCAAGAGCAGGTGGGACGGCACCACGTTGACACTCACCGTCAAGGCCCTAGCCAGAGGCCACTGGCAGGCAGAGGCAGTGTTAGGATTAGAGGTGGCAAAGTGGTCTGAATGGCTGCACTGTTGCCATGTCCCTCTGCTTTGCTGAGAGGAAAAAAAAAATTCAAAGCCTTTTGGGTTATAAGATTTCTAACATCAGCCGGGGTGTGTTGAAGAGACCTCTCCACTGGAGTCCTAAGATTTGGGCGTGAAGTCTAGTTCTGTCACTTGACAGTGTAGACAACTTAAAAGACTTCAGAGTCTCATTTTCTCCACCAAACTCCTATTCCCCAAATGTTGCAGAGATTAAATGACCTACGCATAACCTATTACAGCTATCCATTGAATCAATGGAAATGGAGAAACACCGACTCTCTAGATTTTAGTCTCCTCATCTGTAAAATAAGGAGGTTGGGTTAAACACTTTCAAATTCTTTCCAGCTCTAGCAGTCTGATTCCTGGATGCATATTTTGGATGCTAAAGATATCAAAATTTGGCTTGAAACCTGATGAAATCCAAAGAAAAGGAGTAAAACATTTCTGCATGAAGAAACTCTAGATAAATGACTCTGGCCTCACTAACATTGCCTTCATCTCCAAAGCCGTGTCGCTGGAAGTCTGTTCATTTGCAATTGTCACTGACTTCGACCTCCCTGGTGAAAGCTGTCTCTTAGGAGGCTACCAGCAGTAAATTTCCTGTAAGATCACTTTGCCCCTTAGGAACAATAAATGCTTTATCCTTTTATGTAATCTCATGAAACACTATTGACTTTCATGCTAAGAACTGTTTCTTCCTGAGAGGGGACTTAGGGAGAAGATTCTGAGCACAGGAATTCTGATATCGACTGATGACGGAAGTGCTTCAGATGCACCGCTGGGACCTTATATGGCACCCTTGATGGGCACATATTCCTTCTTTGCTGTGTTTAGAGAATTCATTCCCCCTTGGCAGGTAGACATTGGCATTATTCAGTATTTAATGCCTTAGCCAATTGTCCCTTACCGGGATGACACAGCTCAAAAGAGCCCTATGTGGAACTGTTCTAAAGATGTGAGAAAAGGAAGCTGGGGGGAAGAGATGTCCCACCCATTTAGGAATGACTGAACATTGCCTTGATCAAAAGTTAAGCATCTCTTGGTCCCAGCAAACCATCAGATTCCATGTTGTTAGGACCTGGCATTTTGAGTATTATACACGTTTTCCCTTTTTGGTCCTTTGAGAAGGTGGCCTGTAACACTGATCACATAGAACATTCAGGAGCCCCAGGTAGAACACAATCCTTCAATCTTAGGAACCAGAATGGCAAAACAGCTACGCTAGAGAGGGACACCTCAGCTTCCACTTCACTTTCTTTAGGAGTCTGAAGTGAGCCCTCTGTAGATTGCTTCCCCACATGCAGCCCCATGGCATGCACTCTATTACAATTGCTTCTTGGAGGTCCACCTGTTAACTTGGACATTCCATTCCATCTCATTCCCAGGGAATAGACTCCCTAGCTTGGCTGCTTGTCCAACTCTACTGTACGTAGCTGGACACACAGCAGATTTGCAAAGTGAGGGTCCAACGAAGAGCCCGTATCTATTAGTTTTGTACTTTAGTCATCTGTCTCACACACTAGAATGCAAACTCCATAAAATAAAGAGCTCTATTCTGAAACCACTGTATTTGTCCAGTGCTGTTTGCCAGTTGGTGCTCAATATTTATTGAGTGAACAAATGTACACACATTAACCAAAATAACCAGTTTGAAAAGGAAGACGGTGATCTGATCCGACTGATGACTTAATGCTTGTGTACTCAGCCTCACTATGCAGCGCAAATCAATTATGCTTAAAATGTTTGTTCAAATTAGGTCATCAACGTGAATCATCCGTTCTTTTGGTGTGTCTAGGCATATTTCAAGAATTCTACCACTGAAATCATTACTGCATCTAGGATTTTCAAACCCCAGCTATATTGAGGTATAATGGACTTAATAAAATGCACATTTTTGAAAGGTTCAATTTGAAAAGTTTTGATAAATGTACACTGAGGGGAAAGAAAGTCTCACAGAGTCAGGATAGGAACACATCCATTACCCACGAGAGTTTCCTTGTGCCCTTGGCTGTCAGTCTTTCCATTCAGCAACCACTGATCTACTTTCTTCACTATATATTATTTTGTGTTTCCTAGAATTTTATATAAATGATATGATGCAAATTTTATTTGTATAATGTATATTATACACTTTGCCTTATTTTACTTACCACAATTATTAATTATGAGATTAATTCACATTATAGTATATATCAAGGTTTCATTCTTTTTTCTTTTTATTTTGAGAAATATTCCATTATATGAATATGCTTCTAGGGAGGGTTTGGGATTATTATAAATAAAGATTCTATAAGCATTCATGTAAAAGACTATATGGACAAATATTTTCACTTAGCACAGGACTGGTTGGATCATGTGGTAGATAGATGTTCAGCTTTTTAAGAAATTGCCAAGTTGCTTTCCCAAGTAGCTGGACCATTTTACATTCCCACCAGCAGGGCATGGGGCATCTAGGCCTTCCCCCTCCTCTTTACCATTTGGTGTGATCAGACATTTTAATTTTAGTCGTTTGGATGGGTATGTAGTGGTTCCATGTTGTAGTTTTACTTTTCATTTTCCCTGTGACTAATGATGTCAGATACATTCTGTGAACTTGTTTCCTTTCCATATATCTTTGTATTTAGTAGGTTGTTTGTTTCCTTATTATTGACTTTCAAGAATTCTTTGCACATTTTGGATTCAATTCTTTATTGGGTATATGGTTTGCCAACATTGTTTTCCCTTGGTGTTTGTGGGTATTATGGTTTGGGTGTGGAATGTTCCCCAGAGTCTCACGATAAGAGGTGAGGCTTTGGGAAGTGATTAAGACCTCGTTGGTGGATTACTCCATTGGATGGCCAAGTGGACTACTGGGAGGTGGGACCTGGTTGGAGGAAGGAGGTCATGGGAATGTTCCCTGAAGGGGTTTGTCTTCTCTCCATCCTTTCTCCCTGCCCGCTGCTTCCTGGCTGCCAGAAGCTGCGCAGCTTTCCTCCGCCATGCCCCTCTACCTCAGGCCCAAAGCAGTGGAGCTGGCCAAGCGTGGACTGACTCCTCTGAAACCATGAGCCCAAATAAATATTTCCTCCTTTCAATAGTTCATCTCAGGTATTTTTCACAGCAATGAAAAGGTGACTGAAAGAGTGGGGGGGTGGGTTCCTAGATGCCCTGCAGTCACCAAAACCTGTGCATGCTCAAGCTCCTTGTATGAAATGGTGCAGTATTTGCATCTAACCTATGCACATCCTCCTGTGTACTTTAAGTCTCCTCTGGATTACTCGCAACCTGCTCCAATGTTAACGCTAGGTAAAGAGCTGGTGTGCCATATTGTTTTGGGAATAATGACAAGAAAAAGGTCTGTACATGTTCAGAACAGATGCAGTTTCTTCTCCTGAATATTTTTGATGTGCAATTGGTTGAATCCACAGTTGCGGGACTCCTGAATATGAATTGTGGATGGTATATTCTCAGGTTGTGCTTCTCTTTTCATTACCTTAACACTGTCTTTTGATGAGTAGATATCCTTAAGTGTTTGTGAAGTATAATTTATCGATTTTTTTTTTTTTTTTGTAGAGGAGGAAAAGTTTATTCAAGGGCTCACAGTTTCAGAAGTCTTAGTCCATAGAAGTCTGCTCCATTCCTCAGGGCTTGAGGTGAGGCTGAACATCTTTTTTTTTTTAATTTTTAATTTTTTTTATTGGTTGTTCAAAACATTACAAAGCTCTTGACATATCATATTTCATACATTTGATTCAATGAACTCCCATTTTTACCCCGTATACAGATTGCAGAATCACATTGGTTACACATCCATGTTTTTACATATTGCCATACTAGTGACTGTTGTATTCTGCTATCTTTTCTGTCCTCTACTATCCCCCCTCCCCTCCCATCCCCTCTTCTCTCTCTACCCCATCTACTGTAATTCATTTCTCTCCCTTGATTTTTTTTCCCTTTCCCCTCACATCCTCTTATATGTAATTTTGTATAACAATGAGGGTCTCCTTCCATTTCCAAGTATAATTTATCGATTTTTATCATGCTTTTTTAGTAATATCTAAGAAATCTTTGCCTAACCCAATGTTAAAAAGATTTGTTTCTGTGTTTTCTTCCAGAAGTTTTAGTTTTCGATTTTACATTTAGGGTTGTGATCCATTTAGAATTCATACGCAGATGCCGTCCAAGGTGTAGACCAAAGTTAAGGTCAGGTTGTAGAAATCCAGGACTAGTTGTTGCAAAGACCCTCTTTTGCCCCTGAGATGACTTTGAACTTTTTAGAAAATCAATTGTCTGTATTTTGATAGTTATTATCAATCTTGAAATCTGGAAGTGTTAGCTTACCAACTTTCTTCTTTTTCAAGGTTGGTTGGGCTAATTTAGACCCTTTGTATTTCCATGTGACTTTGAGAATGAGGCTAATTAATTTATATTAAGAAAGACCTCCCTCACTTAGGGAGAATGGACAGCTCAGCCTCTGGGACTCCTTAATAACACACATAGTACAGTTTTCTATCTATTTAGGTCTTGAATTTCTCCAGCAATTTATTATAGATTTCAATGCTCAGATTTTTTTTTATCGGATTCATTCTTAAGTATTTTATCTTTTTGATGATACTGTAAATGGTATTTTTAAAACATTAATTTTCAATCTCCCACCAGCTTTATACAAATTTATCTATAACAAAGATTATATACCTTTATGTTGTACAACTTGATGTGTTGATATACACCCGCATTGTGAAATATCTGAATCAGGCTTATTAACATACCCATTGCCTCACATACTTACTGTTTGTGGTGGTTAGAAAATTTTAGATCTTTCTGTTAGAAATTTCAAGTATGAAATACATTATTATTAAGTATAGTGACCCCACTTTATAATAGATCTCCAGAACTTAATCTTGATCTCTAACTGAAACTTTATACCTTTTAATCAACATATCCACAACCCCATCCCCTCTGTCCCTGGCAACCATCATTCTTTTCACTACTTCTATGAGATCAACCTTTTTAGTTTCTATATAACTTAGATCATGCTGTATTAGTCTTCCTATGCCTAGTGTATTTCACATTTGTCCTGAATGTCCTCCAGGTTTGTACCTGTTATTACAAATAATAGGACTTTTTCCTTCTTAAGGTTGAATAGTAATCCATTGTATGTTTATTCCATGTTTTCTTTATCTGTTTATCCACTGATGGACACCGTTATGGTTTGGATATGTGGTGTCCCCCCCAAATTATGTGCAAGAAAATTAAAAAATGTTCACAGGTAGAATGATTAGGTTATGAGAAATGTAACCTAACCCATGGATTAATCCCCTTATATGGATTAACTGGGTGGTAACTATCGGGTGCAACTGGAGGAAGTGGGTCGCTGGGGGGCATGCCTTTGGGGTTTATATTTTGTCCCTGGTGAGTCTGATTGTCTCTGTCTCCTGACTGATATGTCCTGGGCTGCTTTCCTCCTCCATGCCCTCTGCCATGGTGTTCTCCCTACGTTAGGCCCTGAGCTATGGAGTGTCACCTATGGACTGAGATCTCTAAAACTGTGATTCAAATAAAATACGCCTCCTCTGAAATTGTTCTTCTTCTTCTTCTTTTTTTTTTCAAAGCTGTACTTAAGATTTTATTCCTATCTTGGTTTAAAAGAGCATTGTAATTTTCCTACAAAATTGGCTCAGGAAATAAATCATCTCTTAATTCCCATCTGACATTAAATCAATCAAAATAACAACTTTTGTATATGTAAAGAGAAATATCTGATGATAGAAAGCATTGTTTTGATTGATTATAAATCAAAATATTAAACCATTTATAATTATTTATGAATAATAGTTAACATACACAGATTGAGAAAGAATTAAGTAAGAGGAATTCCATATGTAACTATCAATTATATATTATGAACTCACTGATCAAATGTGTCTGAAATTGTTCTTATCAGGTCTTTTGGTCACAGAAATTAAAAATCTGACTAAAACACATAGGTTTATTCTCTATTTTTGGCTATTGTGTATAATGCTACCATGAATACAGGAGTGTGGATGACTCTTCGAGATACTAATTTCATTTCCTTTGGGTGTACACCCAGAGTGGGGTTGTTGGATCATATGATTGAATCAGAAATTCCATTTTAATTCGTGGATGCTGTTTCTTATGGTGGCTGTTTAATGCAAACTCTCACCCGTAGTTTGAAGCATTGCATTTCTCCACATCCTTTCTGGCACTTTTTATTTTTGTCTTTTCGATAATTGCCATTCTAACGGGTGTGATGTTACATTTCATTGCAGTTTGAATTTTCATTTCCCTGAGGTTCACGATCATGAGCATTTCTTCATGTAACTTTTGTTCATTCATATGCCTTCTTTTGAGAAATGTCTGTTCAGATCCTTTGACCATTTTTTATATTGGGCTCTGTGTTTTCCTGCTATTGGGCTGTTGAGTTCCTTTAGTATTTTGGAAATTAACCCCTTTATCGGGTATATGGTTTACACATATCATCTCCCACCTCAAAGGTCACCTCTTCACTCTCTTAATTTTCCTTTGATGTGCAGCTTTTTTTTTTCCTGGAATCCTTATGTCCGTTTTTGTTTCTATTTCCTGTGCTTTTGAACCCAACACAAAAATAAAAACAAAAATCATCCTCAAGGACCAACTCAAGAAGCTTTTCTTCTAGTAGTTTTACAGCTTACATCTTATGTATAAAACTTTAGTCCATTTTGAAGGTTTCTTTTTTTTTTTCTTTTGGCATATGCTGTGAGATAAGGGACCAATCTAACTTTTCTGCCTATAGATACCCAGTTTCCCCAGTACCGTTTATTAAAGAGACTGTGCTTTCCCTATTGTATGCTCCTTGCATCTTTATGGAAGATCAATTAATTGTAACTGTGTGGTTTATCTCTGGGCTCTCTATTCTGTTAAGTGGGCTACATCTCTGTTTTTATGCCACTACCATACTATTGATGACTATGGCTTTGTTGTATATTTTGAAATGGGTAGTGTGTTGCTTTCAGCTTTGTTTGAGTATAGAAATACTCCTGATTTTTATATATTTATTTTGAATCCTATAACTGCTGAATTTTTAAATTAATTCTAAGATTTTTTGTGGATTCTTTAAGATTTTCTGTATATACGATTGTGTTATCTGCAAACTGACAATTTTACTACTTACTTTTCAATCTGAATATTTTTATTTCCTTCTTCTCATCTAATTACCCTGGCTGGGATTTAACAATAAATACAGTATATTATTTATTCAATACTACATCAAATAACATTGGTGAGAGTGGGCATCCTTGTCTTATTCCTGATCTCACAGAAAACCTTCTAGTTTTTTACCAATAAGTATATTCTTGGTTGTGGGCTTCTTTATTTGTTCTTAATTGTGTTGGGTACATTCCTTTTAACCCAAATTTATTAGTAGTTTATTTTAATCATAAAAGAATGTTGAGCTTTGGTTATGTTTTTTATCCTTCATTCTGTTCATACACTGATTTGTATATGTTGGACCCTCCTTGCATCACAGGATAAATTCCACTTAATCCTTGTGTGTGATCCTTTTCTTGACCATTGAATTTGGTTTGCCAGTAATAGTGTTGAGGAATTCTGTATTTTATTTTCATCAGGGATAGTGGCCTGCAATTTTCTTTTCCTGTAATGTCCTTGTCTGCAATTGATATCAGGATAAAGCTGCTTTCATAAAATGAATTTGAAATTATCCCTCTCTTCAATTTTTTGAAAGTTCTTGAGAAAAATTGAAACTATTTTATCTTTAAATGCTTGGTAGAGTTTACCAGTGAGGAGGACATCAGGTCTTTGGATTTTCTTTGTTAGGAATTATTTTTTAAATTACTGATTTAGTTTTCTTACCGATTATTTATATGAACAGCTTTTGTATTTCTTTATGTTTCAGATTTAGTAGGTTATATATTTCTAAAAATTCAGTTGCTTATTGATAGTCTATAGAAATATAATTGATTTTTGTGTGTTGATTTTATGCCCTGTAACTCATTTTTTTAGTTCTAATATTTTTTTGGCGGATCCACTAGATTTTCTTTCTTTCTTTCTTTCTTTCTTTTTTTTTTTTGAGGTGCTAAGTTCAAGCCTAGGGCCTTGTGCATGTTAGGCAACCACTCTTCTACTGAGCTATATCCCCAGCCCCCAGATTATCTCAAGAGGCAATTATGTCATTTATAAATAAGAACTTTTGAAATATTTCTTTCTAGTCAAGACCACTTTTATGTCTTTTCTTGCCTTATTGCACTGGCTACAACAACTAGTACGAGTCCAAGTGGTGAGAGTGAGTAACCTTTTTCTTTTCCCTTGGTCATGGAGGGGAACGAGCTCAGTCTTCCACCATCAAGTGTGGTGTCAGCTTTAGAAGAATCACAGCTGCTCTCCCAGGTTGAGGAAGCTGAGCAATAGTAGGGCTCAGCTCATTTGTCTCTCATCACTGTGGTCTCACTCCTTCAATGCCTAACATCCAGGATCTCACAAAACTTTGCTTCATGCATCCTTGTCTAGTTTCAGGCAGGAGGATCAGGTCTCTGTTATTCTACTTTGCTTGGAAGTGGAAGTTCCTGGTCTACTCTAAATAATTTCCTCATAAGAGCAAGATTTAAACTCTTGTAGCATCCACATGATTGATTAGCTTATTTTATCATACAAAGAAAATTTTGTTCTTCCTATAAAAATAAGAACAAAAAGGCACATAGATCATGGTTCTAATTGATATCATAATCTTGTTCTGAGCAATTG